ATAAAGTGAGACTCTGTCTCAAAAATAAATAAAAATAAATACAACAGTACACAAATTAGCCTTATTATTCATTCAGAAGGAAAGAAATTCTGATACACATTACCACACAGATGAACTTTGAAAACATGAGAAGCAAAATAAGCCAGATACTAAAAGACAAATGAAAATTCCACTTACACGAGGCACATAAAATAGGAAAATTCACAGAAACAGAAGGGAGAGCAGGGCTCACCAGGAGCTGGAGGAGGGAGTGGGAGTTACTCTTTGGTGGGTACAGAGTTTCCATACAAGATGATGAAAAACTTCTAGAAATAGTGGCAATTGTTACATAACATTGTATATTTAATGTTACTGAATTATATACTTGAGAGTGGTTAAAATGGTACATTTTATGTTATGCAGATTTTATCACAATTAAGAAAAACTTGGGGGTGGCGCCTGTGGCTCAAAGGAGTAGGGTGCCAGCCCCATATGCTGGAGGTGGGGTTCAAACCCAGCCCCGGCCAAAAACTGCGAAAAAAAGAAAAGATAAGAAAAGCTTGGGGCCCAGCATAGTGGCTCATGCCTATAATCCCAGCACTCTTGGAGGCCAAGGCAGGTGGATTGCCTGAGCACACAGGTTAGAAACCAGCCTGAGTCAGAGTGAGACCTCCTCTCTAAAAAATAGCTGAGTGTTGCGGCAGGTGCCTGTAGTCCCAGATACTTGGGAGGCTGAGGCAAGAGAATCACTTGAACCCAAGAGTTTGAGGTTGCTGTGAGCTAGGACACCACAGCACTCTACCAAGGGTGACAAAGTGAGTCTGTTTCAGAAAAAGAAAAGAAAAAGTCCACCTCAACTCAACTCACAGTCTGAAGTTCTTGGAACATGTATAAGGCCATAAAAATGTTTGAGAACTGCATCTGGGAAGCAGCTCCACCCAGGAATGTAATACCATAATAGAATAATAAATATTTAAAAGGTCTAACTAAAGCAGATTTCTTAAAAGCCAAAGTGATTGGCTTGGCGCCTGTGGCTCAAGTGGCTAAGGCGCCAGCCACATACATCTAAGGTAGTGGGTTGAAATCCAGTCCGGGCCCACCAAACAACAAT